GTTGAGACGGCCACGGGCTCGATACTACTAGACGTCAAAATCTTTGCAACTTTTGTGGGTTATTGCCTTACTTCTAGAATCTCTCACCGTCAATAAGAAAGCTCCATAGTGCAGTGGTAGCGATGCCGCTCATGGGACGGTGCACCGAAGGTTCAAACCCGTGTGTGACGCGACTTTTGCAAGCAACGTGGTGGATGCTCACCACTTCACCTATGGCAAATTGCCATTGGCTCAATGGGGACGTTCCACGCTGCCGCTGGCAAGGTTGCTGGATCAGCACCGCTTGGAGACTAAGATTTGCAAACAACATCCATTGCATACCTTTCATCAACATCTCTTCCAGTGTTGTGGTCGAGTGATCCTGGTGCAGTGGCAAAAAAAACCGGCCTATGACCCTAGCAGGTTCGTTCGAGCAGGGATGCAAATGTTGCAGGCGTGTGGCGAGCTGGCGTTTCAATACGGGCCATGTCACCCTTTCCCCCACTAATTCCTCCCGATGTGTGAATCACTAGGTTTGTTGCAGTCCAGCCACTTTACTTACCGCCCTGAGTTGTCTTGTTAACAACACAAATCATTCGGAGGGGTTCTAGAGGTGCTCTACGCATATTTTAGGGTAACTTCGTTTGGAAGCCATCACCAAGTTACCACGAGCTCATGGTCACGTGGGACTAGCAGTTGAGGCCACTTTACTACCGTCCCAGACGTCGTTGTCGTGTCGATCTGGGTGGCACATATTGACGACCCTGTCGAGAGGGAAAAGGAGGTATAAAAGGCGACCTAGAAACAGGGTCAACCCTATCCTGTTGCTAAAAGTACCAACGGGGGTGGGTCGTATTTTTTTTGCTTGTAGAGAGGATCGTACTCTCTCTCGATGGCCGGCAGTGGGATTCTTGGTGATATCCCTATTGATCATATTATAGATGGTAATACGGAGGGAAAGAGTAAACGCAGCAGAGAAACTGAATATGTGAATAGTTATAATGCATTATTTTCAGGTTCGATTGCCACTCTTCTTCGTCATGGCTATGAATATAGCAGAAAACAGAAGTGAAAATGGGGATGAACTTGCTACGGTTTCACTGCGAATAAAAAATTGTTTATTGTCTGTTAGCATTGAAAGAAGCACAAAGAAGCGACGAAGAGAATCCATCCTATCATTAGTTTACTAGTAAAACAGTTTGTTGAACGATGAAAAGTTGAATGATGGCCTTATGGTTGGAGAATACACCTTGAAAAAATGGTAGCCCTCGAAGTTTCAAGATCTTCTTTTCATTAGTGGTCCCCATCGCTCCTATCACTCAGACCATGCAGCGTCAGAGAAGATTTATCATGCAGCCTAGCAAGCGCTGGTCCATCTTCTGTGAGTGGAGGTATTGACCGCAGACAGAAAAGGCATAGTGTATAAGAGTACCTGCTCCGATGGCGTCTCTGACTTGCTTAATAAAGCTGTCCGACTCTGGTACGAAGATGGCCTGTGCCGTGGAAGGTTGAGGCCAGGAAGTGGATTCATTCACTTATCAGCAAAGCTCTTGGGTTCAATGGTAAGCACACTTGGTCCATCGCGTTAAATTCTGGAATGGTCTTTCTTATTTGTGATTATAGGATAGCTCAGCTTAGAAGCAACCGTAAAGCCAAGGAACCGACGTCATGAGGTCACCCGGACTTATGTTCCCTAGCCGGTTACGCTCTGCCATTGTAAGCATATTCGCTTGAGGAAGGCTCCACTGTGGGTCAGCATTGCTGGCCGAGATGACAAGTATGCATTTTATTGCTTGAACATGAATTAATTATTATCACAGTCAGCAGAAAATGGCCATTATCTCACCTCCCACACTTGGAGTAAGATCTTCAGATCTTCTTCGTTGTCGAGCAGCGTTTTGTAGTATCTGACACTAGTTTTGTCTTCTCGAAAATCGCGTGGCCACGTCTTAATTGTTGTGACTGTTCCAACAGATGCTTACAGAACTCCATGAAAAACTTGTACGATCAAGGTGAGGAACAGAACCGTTCAATGGCATCGATGGATTCCAGTATAAGTTTATCGCGCTTGATTTTTTCCACA